AGCCGGGTTGCCGCTCTTGAGGGGCGGTGGCGGGCGCGGCCGCTTCCAAGGCTTTTTCGCGGGCGTGGGAGGGAGCAGCACTGGAGACTTCAGCACTGGGGGATGTAACCAAGGGCTGGTTCATTTTTGCAAAAGCTGGGATCTCTGTATTCGTTTGAAAACCAGCAGCTTGATTATTTTTTTCTTCTTGCCTTGTGTTTGCTCTATATTTATGATTTCAGCCTAGTGTTCTGTTCGTATCTTAAAACATAATTATGAGCCTTTTGAAAAAACTTTATTATTACTTTCTAATGAAGGTTTTTTTGCCTTTTAAAAGTCTTTTTTTCTGTTCAAAATCCGAAATATAAGTGTTCCCAAATACGAGAAAAACTTTAAACTCTGAGTGACAGTGTTTAGTAATGTGTATCTTGTGATCTTGTGCAGGTGCTTAGAAAAAACCTTCAGAGGGGGGCTGTGCTCTCAACAGGGACCTTTTTGATTTATGAAGCTCACAGGCTGATTTCTGGCTTTGCTGAGGTTCATGCAAGCTTCAAAGGTAATATTTACAAATTTTGAAGTACATAGGTTATTCTTACTTGAAATTTTTAGTGTCAGAATTATACACGAAAATGGTGTTATGCTTTTGATGTTCTCCATTAAAACTGCATGCAGTGTGTTTCCGCAGTAGGATGCTTTTGAAGTGGTTCAGGGCAGCCTTGTAGTAGTTCAACAAGTGACTCTTTCAAGTGGCACTGAAAGCACATCTAGGAACTCATCCTGTTTAGGATATAACACATGCTGAAGGTGCGTGATTCCTGATACCTAACTTACTGAGAAAGATATGGTTCAGTTAGGAATGAAGATCAAACCTTAATCAACTTGTAGGAATCTCAAGTTAGTTCAGTTTTTCAATGTGGGCACAGTGCGATTCCCATTTTCAAGCAACACTGAGATTGCATTTCAAACAAAATTGAGAAACGTGTTTTTTGTCAATCTGAAAAGGCGGAAGAAAAGCCTTGCTTTACCTACAAGAAACAAATAGAACAAGTGATAAAATGTCTGAATAAAGATAGACTCACTAATGGAAGAAAAGGAACATTACCTTAAAAGAGTATATTGTTACAGCCTGAGAACTTGTCTATCACATGATAAATTAAGGAGTTTTGAATGTAAGGCTAACTGGAGAATGAGCCTAACTGAAATGTCTGCTTACTCTGTAGTTTAGATAGTAATTAGTTCAGATAACCTGTTTCTCTGTGTCTCAGAGGAACATCTTAGAAGTTTATGCTTACAGAAATAAAAATTCAGATAATAGCCTTTTGAACTGATATGGAACTGTTTCATTTACTGTAATAGAAGGAAGTTCGATGAATAGATTTAAGATAGCTATTCAGTATGCAAATAAGAAAATTTCCCACGAGGAACATAAACAGCACTACTTAGTTGCCTCTGGTTTAAACTGCCTTAGTTACCCTGCCTAAACTTTAATCTGGCATTTACATTGCCCAGAAAAGCAATGTTAGTTTGCATTCTTTGCAAGACAAGTACTAGATAGGGTGAAAATAAGAGTAAAATGGAAGTAACTGAAAAATACTCTTAAATAAATGAAACTCTAATCATTTACGTAAAGCACTTGGTGGGAAATGTGTTCAGAAAGTTTGAGTTCTGGGCATTTAGGCATTAGCTATGTTAGTAGTGTTAAACAAGCAAACATAACAGTTCACTGAAAATAATACTGAAGATGTACCAGGAAGCTAATCTGGGACACTAAAATCCAAAGTCCATGTAGACTGTTATCTGGTCTTTGAAATTGTTGATAGAAGACATTTAGAGATGGTGGGGTTAAAAATTATCCAGAATGTTTTCCTAATCTTCACTGATTTATGTTCTACGATTTTTTAAAGCTGAAGAGGAGGCTTTTGTGTTTAGTACCTTTCAATTTTTTTTTCTTCTATAAGTAAAACTGTGCTGCCGTAAAACATCACTACTGTATTTAGTAGATAATTTGGAAAAAGAAAGCTTATAAACATGTTTAATTCTTATGAAGGGGATGGAGGGTAGAGCTTACATTTTGACTTAGAAGTTTAATCATGCACCTAAGAGTGATACTAAAGAGACAATAAGCACAGCTGAAAGTTCTGTAAGAAATCAGACAAGGCTTTTGACTTAAAATGGAATCTTTGCATGTCTTAATGTTGGCAGAAGAGTGAACTTGGGAGTTTGTTCTTCTGTTAAAGACACTTCAATAGAATTATTTACATGCTTTCCTTTGGGTATTTTTCCTCCTAATTCCATCTGTTCTCGTGGTAGAATCCTGCATTGTGTGGTGTCTGAGATTTGTGATTCTAGAATGCTGTTTTATGTACTCTGTACGTACTGTATTTATTTGTGTATCATTATAATCGGCTAGTTGTGGAAATTGTACTCCCCCATTTCTGTTGTGTTTTAAAGTATTCTCTAGAAAAAGTATTGAAGTATAATAAGAATAATGGGTACTTAGTTCATAAATTGATACACTAGAAAGCCAATTCTGATTATCAAATTAGTTTTGCATTTTGTATGTTGAACACTGAAGTTTCAGTAGATGAACTGCATTTTTCAGAGTCATGTCTGTGAGAATCTTAAGGACATCAGGCAGAAAATGTTTTGAGCAATATTTCAGTTTGACTTGTTGAGTAGGATAATGGGACCCACTCAATCTGCAGTCATATTCTGGCAAAACTATGGAACTGTATTGAGAATGAAGAATTTATTATTACTATTATTATTATATTCAAATTATGTGCATATAGTAATGAAGGGGTTTTGTTATTCTCAGATTTCCACTGCACTTGCCCTCCTGGTCACATTTTTTGTATTTTTTTTTCCTGGTCTTTTCACAAAGAAAACAAATTGCTTCTAGAATTCTGATGCATTGAGAAAGATGCTTTTAAGTGTTAAATCCATTAAGCATCCAAAGCTCTGTTGCTGAAAGCTGTTTTGGAGTTTCATGAGAGAGGCATGCATTCAACACTAAAACTAGTTGTTCCTTGGACACGTAGCTTATTCGATCCCATGGCATGTGTAAGTTGTTTGGAATGATGGCCTAAAAAGAAACTAGATCATTTGCTTGTTGTGTTTCAGCTAGGTTGTCTTGCTCTTCAGTGTTTTGTTTATGCTGTAATATCTTAAGTACATGTAATTTGTTCTTCTGTTTCTACATTTTTATTCCTTATTAAGTGGAAGAAGTTATAGAGCAAGCAGACTACCTGTATGGGAGTGGAGAAACTGAAAAGCTGTATCGGTTGCTGGCTCAACATAAAAATAGGTACTTGATTGCATTGAGACTTCTTTTCTGTGCTCTTCCGTGTCAGTGTTTCAACTAGTGATCGCACTGTGGTATGCTGGAGAGCCTTGCTTTCACCCTTATGTAAGCAGGAAAGAAGGACTCTTGATCTTTCTCCTTCTAATGGAAAAATGAATTGAGAAAGGACTGGTGAAAGGTAAGGATTAACACTCATTATTTTCAGCCTTGCAAAGGATTGGGTTTTGCTTGTTTGTTTTGTTACTCTAAGAATCCTTTAAAATATAATGCAAAACCTCATAATGTGTCTACACATTACTAAAGTATCAAAGTACCTAGAATTCAGGTATTGAAAATTTTTGAGAGTCGCTGTTTCGTTTCATTACTGACCAGCTGTCCTTTCTGTTTTCATTTGTCTCATGTTAGGATTTGAGTTTGAACAAAAAAAAGCTCCTTAGTCATGCAGTTATGTCTTAACTGCACAAAGCATTATTGATGAGCAAACTGGGACAAGCTGTTTACAGAAAAAGTAGAAAATGCACTGCAAACTGAAGAGTCCATTCCTTTGGAGGAGACAAGGCATCTCACTCCTAGAAAGTTTCTGGAGAAAATCAACTGTTCAGTTGTTTTCAGTAGTTTCAGTAGTTTTCAGATTATTGGTGTTTGTTTTGTTTTTGTTTTGGGTTGGTTGGTGGTTTGTTGGGGTTTTTTTTCTCTTGTTCTTGCCAGGTGTGCATGTATAAAGCTTGAGAAGTCAAATGACCATTGCAGCCTGTAAGGGACACCATGTCATGGGCAAGGTGTAAGCTTGCCACTAGGTGTATAACAATACTAGTTATTCTATGAGGAGTAATGATTCCAGTAGCAGTACTCAACTTTTTTGTGATTTGGCTGAAAAATGAGTCTGCTCTTTCTGTGTTACTGTGTTAATTTGACCAGGATTGCTGCATTGTGAGCACTGACTCAGCTTTACTCCAGATAAGAAAACTGGCTTTTATTGGTACTCTGAGTTTAGCAATAGTCAGTAAATGCTTTTTAATGTTTTTGGGTTTTGGTAGTTTTGACTTCAGTATTCCTGTTGTTGTGGAGGGAAGGATGGGGTAGAGTTTTATAGCCAGATAGCCTGAACCTCTGAAAGTCTTGCTAAACTTAAGATAAGTATTAAAATGGTATTTAGGTAAAAGTATAGTAACGTGCAAGCAGTGTTTCAAAGCAGTATGTTCACAAAATAATACCACTTAGTACCTTATCTTTGGCTATAAATTACCATATACTATTTGATATAGTGATATAAATAAGTATATAAATGTACAGTTTTATGTCATGATGATATGGCTAATCTGTCTTTTCACTGTTGTGGGAAGGATTTCATTATTTAGGTACAATTACATGGAAAAAGATGCATAATATTTTAAACGTTCCTAGTAAACATTAATACTGTATCAGTGGAATGCTGCAGAAATGCTCCTTGATTTTTTTGTGGAGTGGTACTGTTGGGTTTTTAAATCTGCATCATTTTGAGAAAACAAAGTCCTTTCCTACAAATCTGTTTGCTTCACAGACCAGAATGACAGAACAAAGGTATGATCAGTCTATAATGGAGGGCTTTCATTTCTTGTTCGTTGCTTTGGGGTTGTACAGAATAATAGATGATGCACGGTTGTCTTATTGCCCACTTGAGATTAACATTGCAAGACTTGTTTAAGACCTCTGCTTGCTTTGTTTCCATTATTGCTTTAACACATTGGTGTTCTGTTCATAACTAGTGATGACGCAGAGTTGTTATGGCGGCTGGCACGGGCGTCACGAGACCTAGCTCAGCTTAGCAGTACTTCTGCAGAGGAGAAACGACAACTGACATATGAATCCCTTGAGTATGCAAAAAAGGCACTTGAAAAAAATGAATCAAATTTTGCAGCGCACAAGGTGAGCCAAGCAAAACAATTTAAACTGAAATTTTGTTCTTTGATTTCTGCCAGTAGAAACTGGAACAAATGTCATTGTGCTGCTTCAGCAAACTTTAGCGTAATTTAACTCTTCAACTGACAATGAGCGAGACTTCTAATTCCCACTATTTTTTTTGAAAGATCAGACTTTTGAAGCTAAATTTCCTCTATACAGGAAACAGGAGCTGGTTAAATGTGTGCAGGATTATGGAAAGGTGACTGCTTAGGTTGATAACAGTTGATGTGAGCAGCTCACCCTTCTCTGATGCAACCTTAAAGATGTGGTACATGTCTCGCATTCAGCATGCTGTTTCTGTGCACATTAGCTTTTTAGAGTTTCACTGGAAATACAATGGCTCTGGCTTCTTTCTAGCCCCCTCCCACCCCCCCCCCTTTTTTTTTTTTTTTTTTGTGCTGCTCCTCCTTTCACAGGCAGAAAGGTAACAGGTATGGTAAATTGTGTTGGCATCTTGGGTGAGAAGAGGACATTGATTCCCTTACACGTGCAGGCCAGCAGGTTGTTCTGATGCTGCCTGAGCCATTCATAACAAATACTTCTTGCTGCTCGTTAGTAGAAGTGGCAGCTGTTCTGGGTTGGGTTTTTAAAAATTTACTATTAATAGCTATAGTGCTGTATTAAATATTTCATTTTTATTCTTTGAATTACAGTGGTATGCAATTTGCCTCAGCGATGTTGGAGATTTTGAAGGAATCAAGACTAAGATTGGAAATGCCATTGTTATCAAAGAGCACTTCCAGGTAATGTAAACACATTTTGCATACAACAGCATTAATGCATCCAATATGTAGACTGTGTGAGAGTTGGGAACTATTTTTTGGCCAAATTTTTCAAGTGTAGTCCTGTTCAGATCTCCTGGTGACACTGTTTTTTGGGTTACTGTGACAGTCCTGAATGCCCCAGCAACAGGGAGTACAAATTATCTTCTGTAGTAAACTAAGTCCCTATAGAAGAAGAAGAAGGGAGTCTTGAAATAGCTGAAGTGCTTTTGACACTTCTTAAAATGTAACTGTGGTATTGAGAAATGGATGTGTGCCTGTCCTTTTAACTGGGGATTGTGTAGCAGTGAAGGACAAATAGTGGAGAAGAGAAAGGACTACTAATTTTATATCACCAGAAAGTATATCAAAATCCAAACAAGTCTCATGTAAAACTCTTTAATGACCTACTAAACAGAAGTGCTTAGAAATCTGTTAGTCTGTATTTTTTTGGGAGTCAGCTGATTCAGTTGTGCTCTGAATAAATACCATATCATCTTGCAATTCTACATACTGTTAATCTAGTTTAATTACAGTAGGATAACAAGTCTATCTTTTAAAATGTATTTTAATCCAAATATGGCAGAACAGCTCCTTACTCCTTGTGGTTTTATCACCCTCACTAGAGAGCCATTGAACTGAATCCAAAAGATGCTACAACAATTCATCTTATCGGCATTTGGTAAGGCTAATTTTCAAACTAAAGTTACCATGTGACAAAGAAAAATGCCAGAATAGAAAATGTCTATATGAATTGCAAAAATGCTTGAAATAATTCAGTGGCTTGTAATTAGTTTAAGCATACATGAAGACCTATTGAATGGGTGTAGGATGTCATGTCTTGGAAAAAGCATGCTCTTAGTTCTTATGCAGCTCAAAAAGCTGAAAAATAATTGTTAATTCAATTTGTTTTACTGTATGGAACCATTAAAAATTAATTTCGCAGACAAAAGTATGTTTCCATACCAGGCATTGGAGATTGTGAGTGCTACTTACTTTGTACTTTTGCTGTGAATGGAGACAAAACTCAGTGCTGAATTTACATTGAATTTCAGTCATGGCTGCAACTTAATACAATCTGTGTAGAGTGAAAAGCTATCAAAAGTGCTGTGTGTTCCTAAAATAACTTCATTGTTGTCTGTCAGGATACTGTATTTTAAGTTACATTTAAGTAAAGGCAGTATATTTTGTGTTAGTGAGAGACTCCAGACAGCATTTCTGGTTATTTGTCTGAAAGAAACCAAAGCTGCTACTTTGTTTAAAAGGAAATTTCTATGGTGAGATTGAAAATGAATAAAACCAGTGTACATACTAAAAACCACAGACAGCTTCTCTTACTTTTCTTTCTGGCCTCTTGAGCATCGGAGTAAACTATAATCTGTTGTTCCAGAATATTATAGTAGTTTATAGACTTCAGTTTTTTAGTGTCCACCACTTATTCCCACCTGACTTAACAATTGCAATAGTCCAAATTTTTCAACAGAAGCATATGCTGTACCAATTGAATGAGCCTTAAGGTCAGTTTCCTGACAGTGTTCCTGTTCTGGAGAGTACTTAAGACATTGTTCCTAAGGAAAATTAGAAAAGGTGATCAGAAATGTGAGTTTATTATTGCTTGTGGCACTGTAATATCCCCATATTTTATACTTCTTATTGAATCCCAGAGTGTCTTCATCTGAAACTGGGATTTGGTATCAGCCAACTCTTGAGTATTTTTCTCCTTTCTCTTTCTGGTCTGTCCTGGAGTGAACTTCTTTTATTGGCATTTCCGACAAGGCATGTTCAATGGCAAAATTTCTACTCAGATCGTGTATTCCATGCCCTCCCATCTCTCCTCTGAACACTTGTATTTATTTGTATTTATTAATTTTCACCTCTTCCCGAGTGCTCTGTTTCACACAGTGAAGAATATTTTTATACTCTCTGTGGAAGGGAAATAAAGTTGTTGAATGTTTATACCTAGAATGTTATATGTATTTGAAACACTTAACAAAAGTTTAATCCTTTCAGCACTTCTAAGGTAGGTGACTGACTACTTTTGTTATTTAGTAGACAGGAAAACAGTGTAGAATGGCCTAGCCTAGAACACAATAGCTTGATTCTTGGGTTTATTTTCATTCTTGTAGATAAGAGTCTTTCAGGAATGTGCTGCAGATCTGCTTTATATTAATAATTGAGAAAAACAAGCTAATGGCGAGGTAAGGCAATGACATTACTCAGTTGTGCCCTGGTTTTGCAAAGTATATCAAATACACATAAATCGTTACAATTGAGCTGTACAAAGACAGCTCAAAAGCTGTCTCATGGTTAATAACTGTTGCCAGTTTTGTTTAACATAATAGCAGTTCCCAGTAAAAGACACACCAAAACCTCTATAGCAGAGCTGCTCAGCAACTTCAAACATCTGGAGTCGTCGTGACTCTTGGCATCAGCAATTATGATGTCCAAGATATGAGGATGTTACTCAAAAACAAGAGAAACGTGTGAAGGGTATATACAAATGTTTCCTTTTACTCCAGGTGTTACTCCTTTGCTGAAATGCCATGGTACCAAAGAAAAATAGCTGCAGCGCTATTTGCCACACCACCAACATCCACATTTCAAGAGGTACAATATGAAAATGTTTCACAGATTATTATTCACCCCCCCCCGAGCTGCTGATACACTTTTACTAATTTTCCTGACAAAGCTGACCTCTGCTTATGGAGTAAGCATGGACTTGTGAGTTTACAACTGTCATTAGTAAAATGAGAATGTAAGAGGAGAGAGGGATATCTGAAAACAAAATTGTTCGGCTGTAGCACACACAGAAGAATGAAAATTATTTCATGTAGTTTGTGCAGCAGAAGATAACAAGCTATATTTAACTTAGCTTGTATTTACTATTATGATCTGTTGCAGATAATTGTCTGTACTGGTTCCAGTGCTGATGATATATATGATGGTATTATACCATGTACTTATTTGATAGGACTATTAGAATTGTCCCTTTATATTAAATGCAAAAAGCAACAACTTGCTTTGTTACTTACCGTGAACAAATACCGTCTTATCCCCTGGCTACATATGGTGTCATTTTTTTTTTCAGTTGAAAGTATTTATCTCTTCATCTTTGCTATGAAAATTCCAAACATACTCTCCAGACGTATCTCTTCTAGGGTGTCTAACAGTATGCATCTTACTGTAACACTTGTACATGTATAGAAACTTGAAAATTAAATTGGTAATAGGAAAGTTTGCTGCAGCTGTTATAATCTTTTTTTGTTTAGATCAACCAATAACTGGCCCACTAGGTTTTGTTCCTTTAAGAGAGGAAGCGGGAAGGAGTCACTAGAAAGTGTAGAAGGCTGCTTGCTGTTACACAAAAAGCAATTTAAGCTGTGGTTGAAAAAGAAATCACATTTTTAATGGAATGTCAAGCTTGTATGTTTTGCTGGAAAGTGTCAGCCAGGATTTCGAGTACTGCAGAATTGTGCCAGTCCCAGCATGGAGTTCTGTAGCTCTCAAAGTAGCCGAAGAGGCAGACTTGTCCCAGAACCTGTAGTTGAGCCCTGTGGGTAAGAATGGACTGAAATTTCTCATGTGCAGGATGAGAAACTAGTTGAAAAGTACGTGCGGATTTCATAACGGTTTATTCTAATGTAAGAAGATACTTAGTATCTTCTGATTCTGTAGGAATCAGTTCTCTGTGAAGTATTTATCAACATTCATGACCTGAATTATAGGATATGTGTCACCTATTAAATTTATATGTGAGAACTGGCTGGGGAAAACTGTAGATATGCTGGATGGTAGAAATAAAATTCAAAATTATATTGACAAGTTGGAGATTGAAAAAGCACTATTCAGTTTGCTAGGGACAAATATGAGGAGGAACTGGCAGAGGAATAGTTGGATAACTGGTTCTGTTGAGAAGATTTCAAACCTGATTGTACATTGAATGAGAATCATCAGTACATGATGGAATTAATAAAAACAGATAATGTACAGCAGGTCCTTCTTCAGCTACGTTAAGCATGCGTGTAAGGCTTTAGTTTGACTTCTGTGTTCAGTTTATTCTCCATTGTAAAGAAGACAACCTTATCTTTTGCAGGCCCTCCGTTACTTCCACATGGCAGAGGAAGGTAATACTTCCAGTGTTTTTGGAAAGAATGGTATCTTCTATGAATGATGACTTGCAATAAACCTCTAGCTTCTGCTGTTAATAGCGTATGAGCTGCTGATCAATGTATCAGCTTGTTGCAATAGTCAACACACTAGACCGTAACGTTGGAGTATTTAATCAGAGATACTCAAGGTATGTTACACGCTTACTATCATCACTTAAGAGTGTAACGTGAGGGGTTTTTCAGAGTAAGTATTAAAGTGAAATTTGTACCTTCCTTAGTAACAAAGTGTGCTTCCTCAGGGCCTTCAACTGGAATGCAGGGGGAAGCAGCAAGCTAAAAAAGGGAATTTTAAGTAACTTTTTCTAAATTTTCTTAGAAGTTCAAAAGTCCTCTGTATTTTAAGTAGTCCAACAGAAAAAGCACACTCTTTATTATTTCAGAAGCTAGTTGGATCAGAGTGCCAATCTAAATGGCACTAAAACTATCTGTATGTAAAAGACAATATGGACCTACTGTTTCTCCAGGAGTGAAGCCATAAGCAAAACTGAGTAGCTAAAAGATAAAGGAAAACAAAAGACTGTTCTGTGACAGATTTGTATATAGTTATATCAGTGAAGTTTAAAGGAAAAGTTCATTGCATATCTTCCCCTGGGTGTCAAGTAATGCAGCTGTGAACTGCAGTGGTGGACCTAATTAAAAATTTGCTTCCAAAACACCTCCATATGTTTTGAATCCTGACCTTGTGTCCAGCAGCAGAGAAAGCCCGTGTGAACAGTGTGCAAGACTAGTCCCTAGTAATGACTGATAGCCAAAGCATGCCTTCTGAAAGCAGCTTCTTAAATCTCTCCTTTAAAAAGTTAAACGCTTGAGTTTTCTTTCTGTGTAGTGAAAGCTCACATAATATCTGTATGCTTGTGGTCTGAAGCTATAGGAAATGTGTCCTTTATTTCTTGCCTGTACTTTCTAAGCTGGTGGCATTGCCACAGCACCTACAAGGTCCAGAAAGGCAGAGAATCTACAAAGCAGAGCTGTTACGCGTCAAGCTCAGTGCTTCACGCTTTGTGAGGAATCCCTTTTCATTTAGTATGTTAACTGACAAGCTGCTAGCTAATGTAACTGTATATGAGACCAAAACCTAGCAAGTAAATGTTTTATGTTGGCTTCCTTCTGATCTAAAGCCAAAAACTATTAATCTTTTACGAAATAAGTATTTAAAGGGGCAATACTATATCATGGATTTGGTAGTATGCTGCTCATTCTCATTTAAAGCTTTTCTCCTGTCTCTGTACAGCTGACCCAAATTTCTACAGCAAAAATTTGCTCTTTTTGGGAAAGACATACTTGAAGTTAAACAATAAAAAGATGGCTCTTCTGTGGTTAAGCAAAGCGAAGGAATATCCTGCACATACAGAAGAAGACAAACAGGTAAGAAGTTCAGAACTGTAATAGTACAATTACATACTGTAACCAATGTGTATAGCATCCTGGTACTGGGATGTTTTATAAAATTAACTCAGAATAAATTGTAGCTCAGCACCTGTATTCCGGGATCACCCCCAAACACCAGACATTCTAGTATGTTGGTAACTGCCTCTGAACACAATGGTTGGAAATACTGTTTATAATAAAGAACTGTTATCCTTTCTTCTTCATTATGTTTTTTTTAGTGCTAACAACAACCCATCTTTAACTGTGTTGAAGTTAAGGTAGGCACCTGAGCTAACCTTTGTCAATGTGAGCACAGATTTGCTTTTCATACGATTTATACCTTTCCAGTTTGAGGCATAATTTGGAAGAGCTAAAAACCACATGAGGAAGAAAAAAGCATGGATGTATCAAACACTTGCTAGATCCATAAAACTTAAAACTGCAGTCCTTTCCAGGCCCCTAGGGAGGGATTCAGACTATCTGAATTGAGAAAATAGAAGTAATGCATCTCTGACACCATATCTCCAATGCTAGGTCACATGAGGCACCTCATTACCCGTTTGAGATGCTTCAAATGATCCTGGTTTGGATGGGTAGATCGCTGCTTCCTACCTAAACATGTACAGAGTACTTCCAGGAGGGGTAATCCATTAGACTTGTTCAGACTTCATACTGCACTCAGTATAAACCACAGTAATTGCAGTTATCTTTCATAAACAATCCTGTTAGCATTGGGACTCACAAAGCGTGATTTCCAATTTATTTTTCTTATGGTTGGCTGACCTCTAATTCATTTGGTGTGCAGCTGCAGTGTGAGATGCCTTTACTGTTACAGAAAATACCCAAATGTGTGTGTTGTGACATTCTGAATGTGCTAATCGTAAAAAATGCTTTGGTAGGATTTTGCACTTAGAACCTCAGGAAAAAACCCACTACTGACATTTCCCTCTGTAAATTCTCTAGTAAGGCTCAAATGGATTCTTCCAAAAATGAGCTCCTTCAGGAACATCTTGTAGAAATAGGAGTAAGGGTTCTGTTCCTTTGCTGCTTTGCAAAATGTATAGGAATTCAGTAGCCTAAAGGAGCTGTGGTATCAGGTATCTGTGGAATTGGTCGCTTTGTCTGACAGCTACTGGAGGCACACGTGACACCAGTGATTGCAGAAGTTTGTCTTTCTTTAGAAACCACATAAAAGGAGTCAGTAGTGATTTTTGTGCAGTAGCCAAGTTGTTAAACTGCTTACCTGCCTGGCCTTCTGGTACAAGCATCTCTTACCTCCTAGAAGTGTGCAGAGCTGCTGAACTCAGAGAGGTGGTGGTCTCATTCTGTGGGTGAATGTGTAACATGCACAATTCACTGGGAACTAGACTTGCTGGTCCGGTAAGAAGGAATTTGCCTGTGCGAAGGAATTGGAATTCTTATCTCTGCGTAAGAGGTTGGCATAAGTAGGTTTTCTTACCTGTGAGTATGTGACTTGTGTTATCTGCGCTGCTTGCTCTGTCAGGACCAGAAGTTTGTTGTTTTTTTGTTTTGAATATAGATGTTAGAAGTCATATTCAAATTTTGTTAGATTTTACCTAGAATTCCTAGGCAAAGGGAGTCTCAGAAGCAGTCTTCTCACACTTCCTTAGCCACTGTCCAGTTTTGAAAACCCTGGGTTGGTTGGTTATGGTCAGAAACAGGACAACTTACTACATGCTGCTATTGGACTACAACAAATCAAGTGCTAATCATCTGTATTCAATCCAAATAAACTTACTATATATAGTAATTGAATTACATGGAAGGCATTGGCTTAAGTGGTTTTATTCCCATTCATGTTTCAAGTGTTGATCATCTTGAACTACAAAAGAAAAATTGCTTGTCTTAGGCAGGTTCTGAATTTACAGAACTGTGGTGAAACGTTTATGTGCGTGCAGGGTAAGTTCTGCTAGAGAAGCCTGTAACTACGTGGCACCATTTTGTTATGAGTGTATTTTTTTCTTTCAGGTACAGAAAGAAGCTTTGGAGTTGCTTAATTCTATATAACAAGAAACAGGATCATGGGAATTCAGTGCCTCAGGTCTGAGCAGCATAGGAAGAAGAGACCAAATACTACTCTGGATTATTGAAGCTGGTAATAAATTACAGCCTAAACCTGCCACTGCCATCATGTTTCAGTTAAACTCATCGGGAAGATCTGTTTCATGATGTGATCCTGTCTGTTGATTTTGATGGGAATCACAGACAAGTGGGGTATACACTGGAGGGGAAAGGCTGGGACAGTGGTAGCACATGTTTTCAATTCAGGTTTTTACACTGCTCAGTGACAAGTTATTATTACCCATACATAAGAAACATGACTAGCATAATTTTAAAGAAAGGAGGCACAGGCCATGGTGTAATTATAAACCTGCATTTTTTTCTAGAGGGTTCTCTGTGAGGTTCAGTGGCTTTCAGGAGTAATATGTTCATATTATAAGAAGCCTTTACAGATTTCTCATTAAGGCTGCACAAGAAATCCTAATTCTAGTGCACTTAAATGCTCGCGTTTGACTTTGCAAAAAGTGTTGTGGTTAAAAAAAAATAAGGAATATCTAAGAAAATCCTCTTCTGGGTGATAGGAAATATGAGTACTTACTTGCCCATGGAGAGGCTGTGAAATGAGGATTTAGTGGCTGCACAATGTTTGCTGGATGACTGCACCTCTTCCCCTAGATCATGATGACAGGAGGAATGCATACTCCCAGTACATTAGAAGTGAACTACAATTTGGAAGCACGTAGGCTTCTGTTTGTAGGGATAATGTGAAACTTTCTTCTTGCTACTACTTTAGCAGGAACTTTCACCAGAAAAATAGATTAACCTAAGTAAGTTGGATATCCAGCACAAAAAGTATTTACAGACTTTCCAAACAATATATTCTGATCACCCAGCAGAAAAAACAGGACCAAATGATGAAAAAAATGGTAGGCAATCAAATACATGTGGTATTGGCAGCAGAACAAATTGACTATAAATATCCAGTATTTGCTTTAACAGAAAAGGATACTGCAATCTATAGGAGGAAGATGAAGAAGGGCTTAAATTGCTTGGACTAACAAACCAAGCCTGTGCCAAGTCATAGTAAAAATCCACAGAGGATCTACAGCTTTAAGTTTAGCCTCAGATCATTAAACTAGTTAAAAGATGGTTTTCTTCACTATGGTAAAGTAATCCTTATTTTTCTATTAGTAGAGCATCAAAATTACGTATTTGATGTGTCAAAAGTCCCAGGGTGGACTACATGCAGTGTTTCAGGGGCATTCTTTGAATTTTCTGCATTCAAAAGAAATTCTACAGAAACACCTGCTGTATACAAAACTGTTTCTAGCAGTCCTGTGGCTGAGGCACCTTCTGTGCCTTTGCTGCTGCAGAAAACAGTGTCTGCACAGAGAGGAAGGCCGTCAGGGTACCAAGTAAAGATTGCCTTCCCCCTCCTCACTGACTTCTTCCCTCCACCCCAGGTACAGCTTAATTATGGGGAATGTAAACAGGAAAAGAAAAAGTTACTCCCGCGGTATTACTGAAATTCCCAGCAAGTCCAAGTTAACTGTATGCACACACACACACACAAGTATATAAACTGTTGTGTTGGGTCTTTTTTTTTTCTCTCTCAAAAGCCATGCTTTCAGGCAGTCCTTCAAAACCGATTAACACATTATATTCACGTATAGGTGGCCAAGAGCTTGGTTTTTTTCTCTTCCTAACACCCACAGGAAAAGCTACTGCAGTTACGAGACAGCTAAAATTATCCAAACAATAAACCAACTACATTCTTGTGATGTGCTGTCTTTTTTATTATTATTTTGTTCACTTACTCACAGATTCACAAAATCCAGCAGGTGCTAGTGGGTCACCAAGTCATTCAGTAGTGCAAATTCGTGAAGCTCATCTCTATGACATTTAGCTCTCTTCGTTATCTTTTAGGCAAGCCACACGCTCTTCTGTTGCCCAGCCTTTGACATTTGGGTTTTGGGTTTTTTTTTTTAAAGCTTCCTTCACTCTACCCAGCATAAGTAAGTCGTAATTTAAGTGATTTGCACTTGAAATTAATTTAATGCTGTATTTATGAAAATGGTTTTGCAGAAAACCTTTGGTGTAGCATGTATAACCCTTCAAGTGGTGGACATTATTGAAACTTACAGAAAGTCGATGTAAAACAGCAGTCGATTGGGCCCATTGCTCTACTGGTGGTAACAGCTCCACAGTAAACTGTGCACAGTGAATACAAAGCCTCAGGAGAATCCAGTATGTAGAAAAATAAAATTTTGGCAGAATTCAGTTGCTGTATTAGAAAGACACATGAACAAATACAGCTGGGTTTCTTCTGCGTGTACACTTTTAACAGTGCAATATGATATGTTACAGAAGTGGTTTAATCATACTGTAAGAAATAATTTTCATGTGTGTACAAAACTCTGTATAAGTTAAATGTAATGGAATTTACAGTTAATATTTAAAGCATGATACAAATGTTAAGTTTAAACATGTTTTTATAATAAGGAAGCATGGTTTGCTAAAAGTAGCATTTATTATAATTCACATGAATAAAATGTTAATTTTGTATTTTTTTAACAAATCTTTGCAGTTCAGCAAATGCCCTCAATGCCAATAAAACTAATTATTAAAATGGCTTTATATTATTGTGCAATTAGGACAAACTTGACCTAGATAAAAGAATGACAGGTTTTAGACATACTTGATTCAGGTACGTCTGACTTTCTCCAAGAATTTAAAAGGAATGAGAGTATTTAATACTCGAGAATATTTTTATCTGTGCAAAGCTTATGTAACTTGCATTTTATTTGGGTTTACTAGATCCAATAACTGAAACTGAACACGAACAGAGAGAGCAGCAAAGTTCACATTTCCTTTTGTATACTCTTAGAGCTCAGTTTACATTCAGCTACTCTACAAAGTTGTAAAAAGGACATCAAAATTTAAAAGGGAAACAAAAAAACAAACAAAAGAGAAACCTGTAAGACACCAGACCAAGGAGAGAATGTGTAATATTTTCTCTTTTATTATTATTTTTTCTTTGCAGATTACCTAACATCCTCGTGGTAATAACCCAAGGTAATATGTAAACAAATTTCAATGCTGCTCAAATGAATTAAAATATTCTGTTCAGGTCCTGCAGTAAGTCTGAACAGTGGCACCAATTCCTTTCAACATTAAATCACATTCACCTTATTGTACATGACTCCTGTGCAAGTAGTAAAGGCTTTATTCATGACCTTGGCTACAGCGATAGAGGGATATATCAGCTATTTACGTATTTAAAAAATTAAACTGACAGAACAACATATTCTGTCGTCTCAAATACCAGCAGCATCTTTCTACATATTTAGGATACGTTTGGCCTAAGCCTTTAACACCTTTTAAAACAGCCATGCAATAAAACAAACTTGGAGATGTTTCTTTAGAGAGAACACAGAGCAGTTTAGACATTTTTGTGAATAATAAAGCCAAGATAAAGCAAATCCAGGCCCTTTTAAATGGCTGCAACTTTTCAAACACTTAAAGCTCTATAAAACTAGAGCCTATTAGTATA